TTTTAATGGAGAAATTTGAAACAGATGCCATCCTGAGATCCACCCTACATCCTTCTCTGTGGAAGAGATACATAGATTACACTTTCGTCATCTGGCCACATGGCCAGCCAGCACTCAACCAATTTTCATCAATTCTATACACCCATCCATCAAATTCACCATGGAAGTAGAAAATGATGGCAAACTACCATTCCTGGATGTTTTGATCGAGAAGAGGCCTGATGGCTCGTTGGAACATTCCATCTACAGGAAAGCCACCCACATGGATTCCTATCTAAAGCCTGACTCCCACCACCATCCGGACCAGAATAACTCCCTCCTCAAAACACTACACCATAGGGCCCGCTGCATCTCCGACCAACATCACCTAGCCAGTGAACTGGAGCACGTACGGAGCACGTACACCAAGCCCTCAAAATGAATGGATACTCAGACCACACAATCCGCAAAGCTGTATCCCCAACCATGGGGAGACAACCATCTGAGGACCCAATCAAAACCATCAAAATCTTAAACAAACACAAGATCCAGGTCCGATTAATACAGTACACAAAATCCGTGATTTGATCCCATCTGTGAAGGATGTCATTCCTGACATGCAATAGCCTGGTGTCTACAAATTAAGTTGTGTCTGCGGCAGCAGTTATATTGGGGAAATGAAACGACATGTCTTGGACCGTGTTCACGAACACAAGGAAGATTTGAAACACGGCAGAACCAATACCTCTGCCGTGGCTGATCATTGTTATAACGCAGTGGACTCGCACGATATTGTTTTTCCGAGACCAAGGTACTCTGCAAACCTTCGGGCTACCATCAAAGATTTGTCCATGAAGCCATCCATATATATAAACACAGAGACAATTTCAACCAAGAAGATGGGTATAAGCTGAGCAATCATTGGAAGGACGTTAACCAAGCAAAGTCGTAACTTGCTGTGGTGCTTCCATTCTTCCCTTTTGTTTGGCTGTTATCTCCGACTCTCTGAGTTGCATTGCCCTGTTAGGGGTCTCACTAACATGGCCACCTCTACCCGATGTATCGATGGTTCTGGCTGTGTGATGGGCTGTGTGCCTCACTGGCGTGACCACCGTTGCGGTGATTCTCTTGCGTGGACGCGCTTGCCTCATTGGAGTGTACTCAGTTTGTTTGTAGAATGTTCCATTACAGGTGAAGTATGTATTGGTGAGGCAGTGTCTCACCAGGGCTGGTACATCAGCATTCAGTCTGTGTTGGACCAAATCTTGAATTATTGCAATGGTAACGGCCACAGGAACCTTGGTGAACAGAGAAACTACGTAGAAACTCACGAGCAAGTCACCTGGGGACAGTGAGATGTCTTTAATTCATGCTACCAGGTGAACTGCATTACGTACAAAAGAGGTGGTCTTACCAGTGAATGGCTGCAAGGTCTCAGACAGATATTGGGCCAGTTTGTAGGTGGGTGAGCCAATGGTGGAGACGATGGGACAATGGGGTGTACCACCTTCTGTATGGATTTTTGGTAAGTCATACAGTCTGGGTGGTCTAGCAGCAGAAGGTTTTAGGGAAAACTTTTGGTCTGTTCAATTAATGAAGCTGAATCAATGATTATACTGTTCGTTTTTGTAACGAGGCAGTTGGTAGGATCTCTTTCAATTTTTGTGTAGCTACTATCATTAAGTAGGTCCTGAATTTTGTTATTGAACACGTTTTTGTCCATGATGACCGTGGCATTACCCTTGTCGGCTGAGAGGATGACGATATTTTCCATCTTTTTTTATTGAAATAACTCAAAGCGCTCCTCCTTACTGATGTTGCTGACTGGTATCTTAGCACTTTTGAGGGTTGCAGTGATTTCAGATCTTGTCACATCTGCAGCGATGTATCCCAAACCGTTTCACAGCCTGTCTAAGTTGAGTTTAGTGATAAAAAAACACTGTCTTGTCATAAACGGACAAGCAATTTGACACCACTTTAACTTTTTAATTTTCACAGATTTCATATTCTTTGGGTCTTTCAGTAAAGTCACGTAGATAGCTTCAAAGAAAATAACAAAAAACTACGACGTTTCGATCGCAACACGAACGCCTGTGTTGCGATCGAAACATCCTAGTTTTTTGTTATTTTCTTTGAACCTATCTACGTGAATCGAAGCTTTCGTGACTGCATGAATTACTATTTGGTTCTTTCGGTAAAGTCACGTAGAAAATAAAATCAAATAATAATAGAATACAACGTTTCGGTTGCAACACAAGCAACAATCATCAGGTAAGAATGAATGATAAAATACAGACACGGGAACAGCATAGGCAGACACACATGCAGATGATGGTTGCTTGTGTAGCAACCAAAACGTCGTGTTCTATTATTATTTGATTTAATTTTCTATGTGACTTTACCGAAAGAACCAAAGAGTAATTCCTGCAGTCACAAAAGCTTAAAATCTAGTTTGAACCACCTCTACGGGGAGGGTTTACTCACAACTCACACTTTACTTATAATGGAGAAATCTTTGGGAGAACGTTAATCAACCAGGATATGCGTTAACTGTGTGCTAGCCGACTCTCTGCGTTGCATTACATTACACTCTCTAATTTAGCTAAATTTGTTGTCAAACTTCCTATTTCTCGCTCGGTGTGTCTTTGTGTTGTGTGTCTCTTTCCACATTTGGGTCTGCCTATGCTGTTTCCGTGTCTGTGTTTTATCACACTTTACTTCTAATTTAGCAACTTTGGAAGAACACTAATCAACCAGGCTATGCGTTAACTGTGTGTTAACCGACCCTCTGTGTTGCATTGCATTACACTTTTTAATTTTACTAAATTTGCTTTCTAAAAGAAGCTAAAAAAGGAAAATCTGTCTCGGGTGTGGACCAATCAATTTCAAGGACAATGCATACATTATCAAAGTTGTGTTTTTTGTTTGCATTCCGACCGCAGGTATTGTGGTCAATGCAAACATGACTCCTTGTAAAAAAGGTGTCAGTTTTGTTGCCAGATAAAAGGGTAAAAAAACAATTATCATATTTTGCTACTGGCAAGGGAGGTTCCAATGGTGTAAATTTGCTTTCTCAAACTTTCGATTTTCTTGCTCTAAAGCACTGTCTCTCCTCCGGCCACTGTGGTCCAGAATTCCACACTGCTCCCTCTTTGTCCCCTCGTTTGTCCGCTGGTCCCACCTCCCCAGTCCTCTCTCTGCCCCGGCCCCTCCCCCCTATCTCTATTTAAGGCCTCGGCACAGATTCATTGTCCTTCTGTTTGTCTTGGTGTGTGTCTCGCTCGGTGTGTCTTTGTGTCTGTCTCTCTCTCAGCATGTGTGTCTGCCTATGCTGTTCCCGTGTCCGTGTTTTATCATGTATTCTTACCTGCTTGTGTTACAATCGAAACGTCGTGTTCTATTATTATTTTATTTTCTACGTGACTTTACCGAAAGAACCAAAGAGTACTATCTACGTGACTTTTACGGAAAGACCCAAATAATATGAATTCCTGCAGTCACGAAAGCTTTAAGTCAAAATGATTTCACAGATTAGTGATGCAAATTTATAATTGCTTGGTGCTCATGGATTATTGTCACTTACTTTGAAAGTGGCCTTGCACTCAAACAAATGTAAAATGACTCGTACATTGAAGGCACCGAAACTAAGCACCCATAAATTTCGATTTAAAGCTTTCGTGACTGCAGGGATTCATCTTCTTGGTTCTTTCGGTAAAGTCACGTAGAAGGGAAATAATAAAAGAATAAAAATAAAACATAATAAAATAATTCTCACGACGTTTCGGCCACAACGCAAGCAGCCGTCCTCAGGTGAAGAACAGGTCTGTCGGAAAGACAGACCTGACTTTACCGAAAGAACCAAGAAGATAAGCACCCATATTTCAAACCTTTCATTCAAAGCCACTGCTCCACACACATATAAACGCACTGCAGGAAGTGCACATTTTCCAAGTACGTATTCAAACAACAACATCGAGAATTGATGAATGCAGACTGCTATCACATGGTAATGTCAGACCGATGCAAGTGGAAGGTAACATAGAGAGGACGATCGAGAAAAAGATGTAGGGATGGTGTAGAGGACGAGGCAACTAAAATGGAGTGGAATGACATGGAAACGTACAAAATCGATGGGATATTATTATTTCCAACAGTGGAGAACTGCTGCTGCTGCAGGAAGTTTGTTGACCCAGTGATCTTTTATAAACGGGCAGGACAGGAAGAGAGATTCCTACCTAGTTTGGATATGTACACTCCATGTGAAAACAACGCCAGGAGGAATCTGTGTGGTCTTTAGGTGTGACGTTGATGCACACAACAGACTACCATTCAGATGCACTAATGACAATGCGATGGCACTTTGGGGAAACTCTGGCAGGAGGGAACATTTTTATTGTAGACAGAGCGAGATTCACTTTGATGGGAGCCTGGGGTTATTCTAGTTTCGGAGACCCCTCTTTGTATATTAAATTCCTTCCCTTTACTGGTTTACAACCACGCGTGCCCAATGCCAAATACCCCATTGCTATGTATACCTTGGCTTTTTGCCCTTTTGGTCTGAAATGTGAGGTTCCGAATTGGACAGCTACATCAAAGTTAAAGCGAACGAGACTATTTTGATTTCGGCACGTAACTGGTAGCAATACACATCTGATGCTATGGACGTAATTACACTTTAGGATCACAGTGTTAATGCGGGCTTGATTCCTTGCAAAAGGTATCCATTTGGTGTTTGGCCATCTTAACACCTGTTTAATTTGCCAGAAAGGGTGAAAACCTATTCTTATTCCCACAGCATTACGTTTCAACCATTGTAAAGCGGTCTATACATTTTTCCCTCCTCCCCTTCCTCAACATCCAAGGGCCCAGGCTAAAGCCCCTAAAGCCCCCCCATCCATTGCATAAATTCGGCCCCGAGTGTAGAAGCTGCGCTACTTTCCAGCGGGCACCACTTGCCCCGTGGCCTGTAAGTGCTGGGAAGGGGAGGTGGCTTCAGGCCGTGGTGCCCTCTCCGGCCTCACCTCGCGAGCAGTGCGGAGGCAGGAATCCTTGGTTACAGTGGCAGATCCCAGCCAGACACACCCCGTTGCCGTGGCAGCCTCCAGGACAACCTCCGACTGCATCTGATGGAACAGCAACAAAGCCGACTGTGTCTGCTGGAACAGCAGCAGGGGACGGCGGTGGGGGCACTTGATGAGGCATCGGCAACCGTGGAAGAAACCCAGTGGCGTGGGTTGCAAGCGGATCAATCCGGTACGCAAATATTAAAGACGGCCGGTAGCTGTTTTCGGGCAGTTGCCGTCTTGTTCGCTGCGATGGCCGACGTTTTTGCGACGCACGCGCTGCGGTGAAACTGAGGCTGTTGAGCGAAACGTCGCGCAGAGCGGCACAAACCGCGAAACGAAACCTGCACGCCAATTACGACCGCAAGTTTGAATGTTGTTGTTGAGATGTTGGCAGAGGTGTCCTTCACATACTTGAGCTTGTTTCAACCAAATGCTTGAGAGATCATCAACAGCACAAATGCCATGGTGGCTATGTAGATGCAGTGTCTGCCCTATACCATGTGTGTGTGTGTCTTTCTTGTGGTAGTGTCGCGGCTAGCATGCTGCGCTATGAAACCAGTAACCCGAGCTCGATTCTCGTACAAGGCCAACACCAGTGACAATAATCTGAACCGGTCCGGGGCTTCGCCTAGGTCGATTCAGCCTTAAACGAGTACCTGGTGTGGTATCCATGATACAGTTTTTTTTGGGTTCGATCTCGTAAATATATAAATGTGTCGTTAAACCCGCCACCACCCGATACAGCCAATTAGTAAGGTTTGTCACGTAAACAGAACATGCCAATTCCTCACTAGTACAGCGCACCGGTGTGTTGGAGAGCAAATCTACAACATTTACAATCTGCGGTATGTAAACATCACCGCTGTTGAGACAAAGGCGGCCGGGCGTGGTGCTAGCCACCCACCTCGTGTGCCGTGCCGGCCTTCATAGGTGCTACTCGCTAACAGCACTTGCTCTGACAGTGTGCTAAGGCTATATAGGGGAATCTTTGTCTTTGAGGTTGATTGACCTCACTCGAACTGTGGTCAAATTATACTTCTGTAATGATGGATGATACCTTTATGAGCTCCCTGCAGTTACAAGCGATGGTTAAGATCTGCTTTTGTACACAAACGTCCACAAAAGCCGTTTTGACAAGTCATAATCCCACACCGATATCTTTCACTTGTATGTAGTCCGGCATAAAATGTTACTCGGCACCTAATTATCAGCCTTCGTAGATTAAAAGGCTTCAAGTAAAATCGCGCTTGCCCGTTCTCGCGGAACTGTGTACCATTTGAACACACCCGTTACAACGGCTTTACATTGCTCATGCAAATGTGGCCGTGTGTGTTTTTTTGTAATTGGATATGTATGCACAATGTACGTACAGACACGTGTCTATAACTCGTGCCAACATATGGACATCTCTCTATGCAAATGCGTACGCACGTTTAAATGGGATGTGCCTGATGAAAAGGTGTGACCTGTGAATAATGTGAACCTGTCTGCCAAATTTGTGCGTGTGACAAATGAACAATTGTAAAATTTTGAAAGGGTTTCTGAGTGCGCTTGAAGCCAAGTCCTGTTCACCTTGAGCTCTGCAGTTGTTAGACCACCGACAAAAAAAACCCCTGAAACCTCGGCAATGCAGGGCAGTTGAATGTCAAGAGGTTTTTTATGATTAAAAAAAATCATACGTAACAAAATGGTTTGAGGGAATTCGTTTCATACAAAAAAGCTGAAAAAACCCATTCCCAATTCTGCTCTTGCTTATATTTAGGCTTTTACTGTCACGGTTGTTGCAATTTACATTTTTTGCGACATGCCATCATGAGCACGAAGATGAATAAGACAAAGTACTGAAGAAAATGCATCATCCCGATACGCACACGGGTGTGATGCGCATACAAACAAGAATGTGTTGACAATGGTATCTACGTGTGGCATCAATTCAGATGAACAATATTCTAATGAAACAAAAATATACATAAGAATATAATCGGTGGCACGTTCAAGGCAATTCTGTCAGTGTGTGGTCAATATGGTAAATGTCCTTTACAATCATTTAGTCCCCTCCGTTATCTCTTTTAAGTGAGCGTGCAGTGTTCACTCATTATGTGGAAGTCAAAATTTTGCTCTTGCCAGATTGGCAATCATTTCATAGGGACCATTATTTCTTTCCCCCCGAACTCCCCCCTCCCCCAAACTCAGATCTCATCATATATCACTCGTGAGAAGAATGTCGTAATTTTAGTGAACACCAATTAAATTCCTCCCCCCCCCCAACCCCGCTATACCGAATAACATGGATTTCTCATAAAAAAAACTTGCTTAAATTACAGCACACATGGAAGAGTGATATATATCTATATCTCACACAAATAAGACCGATGGAAACATCTGTGAGAATGACACCCCTCTTCTCCGCTAAATGATGTGGGAGACTTGTCAAAAGCAATTAATCTCAGCAAGGCTCTGGGGCAGTCGGCGACGCTCAATAATTCAGGGGAGCAAAATCTTCCATTGTTTTCATTACACCGTGGACAAGCTTGTCCCTGTCAAAACTCGTTCGCACATCGATCGAGAAAAGATATCTGCAAGAATTAATGGTTCGACTCCAGCCAACGTGCCACATACGCATCGCTTCAAAAGTAGCTGCGCCACATTTTATCATCGTAAAGCAGGTTTCCTTGGCAAACTGCGAGCACTGTTAGAATTATAAATAAAACTCAAAACTGCAATGTGCTTTTGTTGGGATGACACTGATGACTCACGCAAGGCGCGTGCGTTATGTTTACGCGTCAAGTTTTCCGTGATCTAGGTGGCCAATTTAAAAAAGAAAAGTTTCGTCGACTCCATTCATCTAATTTCCCCTGACGCTCTTATTGGTCTTAAAAACTGAGAGTACTTTGTAGAGAAATGCTGAGTACGCTGCTGGCTCCGAGACTACGGCTCTGATTCACTTGCTCGATGGAGTTCTGGACGGCAGTTTTTCTATCTGGCTAATGTTATCATCCCTCTACGGTTATCGAGGTCTCCCTCTAGCAAGAACTATTTCACCTAATTATCTTCTCACTGAATTTCAGTAATTGAGTGAATATTTGACGTACTCTTCAATGTGCTAATGCCTTGGACAATTATGTTAATTAAGCAAGAGGGGTCAAGTAACCTCCTCTCAAAACAAATTAAGGAAAGTGATCTTCTCAAACAGCTACTATACTACTGCGGATGCCTCCAAAACATCATACATTGGTAAACCACAAATATTTACGACAGACATAATCATGCATTGTTAAAAGGTAAATTATATATTAAAAAAAATCAGGAATGGTGGCAATGTGAGGGAAAAGTAGTGTGTGTTAATGACTGGCTTACATTTAAAACATTGACTTAAAAAGCCTGACGATGTAGCAATCATTTGGTGTAGAGCTGGGCTATCTGCTTATTTAAGGATTCAGTTACCCTGCCGATTATCACTCGAATGCTCACCTCATCGAACGGCATGAAATTCGTTTTGAAAAAGTCTCACTTTCTGGTCCACATGTGCCGCTGGACGGGAGGTAATGGGCGCTGCCACCATGGCTGGGCGCTACACTGGCGATATGTTAACTACCTCGCCTGGTATACAGGAGGTCGTGGGGTTTGATCCCAACCCTGATGTCTGTATATTTGGAGTTTGCATGTTCTCCCCATGATCACGTGGATTTTTCTCCGGGTCCTCTGTTTTTTTTCCTCCACATTTATAAATGTAGATATGTAGTCACTTCGTTCTTTAAATTAACTCTGACAGAATGAAAAAGACAGCTATCTTGTTCATCAACTCCGTGATCTGCCTGAGAAAGTATTCTACATCAATTCAATACGAATGTCTATGTCAAATTATAGCACACTGACTCAGCTACTTTTTTATGAGAAATATATTCTGCACTTAATCCCTTTAATTAATTCAGGTGGGTAATATCTTTCCTTTTCAGAGACGTTTTTCATATGTCATCCAAATTGCCTCATATTTGCTGCTGCCAGTTTCTCATTAAAAATTCAACTATCCACCAAATCACAAATTTGGTGTGATTAAATCACTGTACGAGTTACTTCCATTTCTTGGCCTGGGAAAAAAAAGAGAAATCCACGCTGAGAAATAGTATTTTGAATGTTTGCAGTGTGAGCAATAACCAGGTATAAAATGAAAATAAATGCATAAAATGAAACGCTATCGAGTTAGCCCAGAAATGCATATCAATTAAGGGACTGGCCGAATTAGCCATCACAGCGTAACAAAAGTTGGTCACCTAAGCATTTCGTATACATATAGTAGGGATGTAGTGAATCACCCCTGTGGCAATTCAATTGTCGTGATTCTGGGTCACGATTTGATTAAGGGACGTCTTCTTCTTTAAACAATGTGATAAAATGTGGCTCCAGGCAGAATAATCCTCGTCTTCAGCCTTAATCTATCTGCTGCTGGGTGAATAACTCCCCAAATGATTGCCATCTCTTGTGTTTTTAGTGGTTTTTTTACATTTGTTTTTATTTTGCCAGGTAAGGCTCACTGAGCTATACAGCTCTTTTTCAGAAGCGTCCTGGCCACTAATGAGAGCTCAATAAAGTGGCTTATCATGCGGAAATATAGAGCAGCCAAATACTCCAAACGGATGCTTTTAAAGGTGGGGGGGACCGGATGATCACGTTCGCTCGGAGCTGCAATCCATCTCGAGCCTGTACAAGTGTGGTGACATCGCGGGATGTCACTGTGTATGCCGGCCCCAGAGAGGCACGGCGTGCGGTGTCTTGACATCGCAGACGCCACTGTGATGTGGGTGCAGTACCGGCCCTAGAGGGGCTCGCTCAGCGCTGATTGACAGCGCCGGATGCCATCACGCTCGGCGTGCAATGCCAGCCCTAGAGGATCGGCTGTGAGAGTGCTGGCCTCAGGGAAGGGGTTACTGAAGGCCGTGCACTCCGGTTGACCCAAGAGGACACGTGACCGGTTAAGTCTACAGAGGGGTATATACTTAATTTGTTGTATTACATTACATTTCTAAGTATACTAGATTTGTGTTTCTATTTCATTTATACCTGATGATGATTGCTTGTGTTGCGATCGAAACGTCGTATGCTAGTATTTAATTTATTATTTTCTCTTTATACGTGACTTTATCGAAAGAACCAAAGGGTAATTCTGCAGAGGGGCCCCAAGTGGGGGCTGGGGGTGGTCACGTGGTCCGGATCGAGATCCTGCTCAAGGGGTTCTGGAAGGTGGTCATGGCCTGGGGCGGAGCCGGCCCCGCCACAGAGGATATAAGCCGGGTCCCCCAGAGGGACCGGCGTTGTTGTTCATCCTGAAGAAACCGTCGTCTACATCCTACCGAGTCTCCAACACGTGGACCTGGAACCGAGCTGGGGTCCGGTCCGTAGTAGCTCGTTACGTTGTAACTAGTGTAGTTAGCCTGGTGGTCACCACCATAGGTTGTTATTCTGTTAAGGGGCAGTTACCCCGTGTGTTAGTATTAATTAATGTGTTGCCTCCAAAGAGTACGTCTGCGACTCAGTTGAACTCACTACACAAGTATTGATCTCTTCGCTCCATCTCCTGGGTGGCAATCCTCTTTGACGTGTTCCCTCCATTTCCCGCTAATTCATCGTTGGTTTCGATCATTTGCCATCAACATTCTCGTGATGATTCCTCCCCAATCGACTGCTGGATTAGGGCCTCCGCAAGCATCGCAGGTCATGGGGTTCATGATTAAGCATACCTCACCATGTTCGTTCGGTGCAGTGAAGATATCCAGCAGAGAGGTTGGAACATAACGCTACAGCAGAACAATTAAATTCCCTGCATGGTCCTGTGCTGTCAACCATGTAGCCCTGCAGCCCATAACACATGTTACGCATGGCAGTCTCCCATACAAGAACTGTACAGGCTCAAAAGCTGCATAGCTTCTGAGGTCTGACAAGATTGGGCACATTATGGGTGTTTTGGTCACAGATATCTGTCAATATATTTGCATTCGTTTTTGATCCCCCCTTATCTTCACCCCTCCCCGTATAAAAGTACATTCCTTCCGCTTGCAGTCCCCACCTAGGTGGAGCAGTGAGCCCAATTTCTCCCCTTTCTCTAAACCCCGGAGCGTAGAGTTTTTGCGGACTTCTGCCCGCGAAGTTTCTGTGGCCCCCTGCCGACGTCGTGGTTTGCGCTCTGTAGCCGGACACATTTGGCAACGCGATAAAAAATATTTATAAAATAAGTATAACCAGTAAAAACAAAGTTTTTCACTATAAATCCTTTATATGCGTGGCGGCTAGAGTCCTCTCGTCCTCTGGCTTGAGATGGCTGCCACCTATGGGTCAGGTGATTGCATTGCACCATTAAGCAATTGGTAATTAAATATAATATTTTTGTCCTAAAAAGTGTAAAATTTTGGGAAAAATTTTTCACGAACATTAATTGTCACGCACAACGAGTCTGTGTGGAAAATGTCAGCTCGATTGGATCACGGGAAGGGGGTTAAAAAACGACCGAAAGATTTGCACGGTCCTAAGCAAGCAAGCGAACTTAATATAAAGGATATAAAAACGAAAGTTACGGCCTCTGACCTGCGACGTTGGCAGCGAGGGCCACGTGCTCCTTGTCTGCGCCGTCGTTGTAGAGGGCGAGGTGCCAAACGCCGGCCTGCAGGTACTGCGTGAAGCCAGCGTGGGGGCTGCTTGTGGCACTCCGTCTGGCCCGGCCCAGCCGCTTGCCGTCGAGCACCTCCACGAAGTCGTACTGCGGGGGGACAAAGACAAAAATCCCCCGTATAGCCTTAACAGACTGTTGGGGCAAGTGCTGTTAGCGAGCACCTATGAAGGCCGGCACGGCACAAGAGAGGGTGGGTGGCCAGCACCACGCTGTGGAGGACGGCCACACACACACAGACATTCCGAACATATTGGCAATCGAGTCATCGTCTTTTCTTTGTTGATCCATGTCGTCTTCCTGCACTGCCACCCAGTGCAATTTCAAGCAAGGGCCTATCAGTGATTTTTCTGTGTACTTTTCAGATTTTATTCCACTTTCTCCATCTCTGTCTGTGTTTCCAATCCACGATTGGGGCTTTGGTATTTCATGATCAATTTCAGTTTTTACAAAAGCAGCCCTACAACCTTCTCCGGTGAAACTTTTTTTTTGTAATCTTTTAACAAAACCTTTTGTTTTATCTTTTTTTTGTCACTGCCCGCTTATTTGCAACGGTAGTACCCCTCTTGCACAAAATGTGGCAATTTCTCAACGTGCCATTACATGCTGGGGGAGATTAAATGAGCCGAATGTTAAAACGTCAGTGATTGACAAGGAGAGAACCAGTTAGCCCGGAGGCATACACCACGCAAGATCCCGTGCACAGTCACACGTAAGAAGGAACTTGTGGACAGGGCCAAGGACACACTCCTCTCCATCACCTGCCACCACCTGAAATCGGAAATTGTGCAAGAGTTTAAAAGCATGATTAAAACACAGCAGGTTTGTTGTGAAAGCGTGAATTTTTTTGCGTTTAGTTTGTTGTCCTTACCCCCGCACCTCCGATTAGCACGGTTGGCTACGTACGGTGCGAAAGAAGTTCAACACACATACGGACAGGTTGTGTGAGTTTCGATGTAAAGCTTTCGTGACTGCAGGGATTCATCTTCTTGGTTCTTTCGGTAAAGTCACGTAGAAGGGAAATAATAAAATAATAAAAATAAAACATTATAAAATAATTCTCACGACGTATCGGCCACAACGCAAGCAGCCGTCCTCAGGTGAAGACCAGGTCTGTCGGGGAGACAGAGTCTAATCATCTGAGGACGGCTGCTTGCGTTGTGGCCGAAATGTCGTGATAATTATTTTATTATCATTATTATTTTATTATTTCCCTTCTACGTGACTTTACCGAAATAACCAAGAAGAGGTTGTGTGATGTTTACTTGCTCCTTACCTCGCAAGATGTTTTTTTCACAAAATTACTCCCACTTGGTATGAACCTGTTGTCATCCATATTTTGAAATATTCTCACCAAACCGTACGACACACAACGACGGAACAGAGATGCTGTCAGCAGAGTGGGCTATTGCCAGGTTGCAGTAAATACAATTAGAGACAATCTTCAGAGCTTCCAATGCACATGGGGTAGAAACATTATTAGACTCTGCCTATCAAAGCCTCTCCCCTGAGAAATTTCACAAAGACATATACATATATATATTATTGCTGTGATTCCATGAACACAATCAGTCAAAATGATATTGCATCCTCATTTCGGCAATGCAGAGGGTAACTGGATGTTCTCACTCAGACAAATGTAGTTATGGTATAAAACCTGTCACAACACCCTCTCAGGCATTCTCGGCATGCGTCAATGAATGGTTATGAATGATAATACCTTTTATTTATCAAAGAGAGCCTCATCTATAATGTGTCCTGTATCCAATCTTGAACCCTGCCGAATGCCCTGCAGATTCTACGTCTTCAAAAAAGAAATATTGTATCGTGTTTTAATGGCTGTCCTTCTGTAAAGCCTAATTGGCAGCTGTGCTGTCATGGTTACAATCTAGAAATTAAATAATAGTTTACTCGGTAGGTCTATTTTGAGTCGTTTGGACAATTACGTTCATGAAAATTACTGTGTAGGTTTACGCAATTGTGTGTACAGCTCTCCGATGTGTTTCAGGCTTGTGCCACGTGTTGTTTGGCATGATGTCTGACATTTCACTCTACATGTTGCAAGCTTGTTCTCAATGAAGCTCCCAAAACGTCGGACATCTTGTCGAACTACAAGTCACCACATGTATGAGGAGCACGGGGGTGGGGGGGGGGGGGGCAGAAAACAACCCTGCCATCTCTTTGTCACTCCACATCCCTGGTGGTCTCAGACGCCTGAAGCGAAAATCACGAGGATAGAACAAACACTATTAGAGAAAATACTGATTTACTTACCTCTGTTACCAACTGCTGCATCACATGTACCCCCAACAAAATTTTCTAAATAGCGTTGCTTGTTCCTAGATGCGATTCTCCCTCCATCGAACGGAAGCCCCCTGCAATGCAAGCCTCGCCAAAATAAAGACCACACACTGTCGCTGAAATGTCTTTCCTTTCCTTTTCCACCGATAATTTTTTCCTCTCTCTCCCTCTCTCTCTCTGTCCTCAGATAAGACATTCTTCTTCTTCTTCAGACTATTTCTATGGACACGTCGTGGGCACGCGTGCGGCGTCGTGAGATGTGGTCGCGTTTTCAGACGCATTGAAGATGCACCGTCGTAAATTGCAATATTAACGCGTTGTAAAAGTGCGCGTTCGTTTTTCACACTTCGCACCTGGATATATACGACTGGATAAAACGTGCCTTTGTATTTTACACGTAACTGCATTGGACATTGTTCATCTCATTCATCTCACCGACATGATTCGCAGCAGTGTATGGTGGCCTACGTGCCTACCACTGCCACGCATGAATCTTGTTGGCGCTTGTGTCGAATTAATCCGGCTAACAATTCAGACTCTGCCTTCTCGACAGACCTGTTCTCCACCTGAAGACGGCTGCTTGCGTTGTGGCCGAAACGTCGTGAGAATTATTTTATCATGTTTTATTTTTTATTGTTTTATTTTTTTCCTTCTACGTGACTTTACCGAAAGAACCAAGAAGATGGAACCACCCTCTCGAACAAGATCCACATTCCCCCAGATTTAAGCCGAATGAATTGTTAAAATCACTGTTGTCCCTACTCCACGATGCCAGTCCCCATTCGATTTCAATAAAAAAAATCAGAAGCTAATACGAACGCTAGCCTGGCTTAAATGGAACATTGGGGAGGAGAGGGGGGGGGGTCAGACATTCTAAGTGTGTGTAGCTACCGTGATTGCAAAAAAAAAATTACGAGGCCGTGTGCCTGACATTAACGTTTCCCCCCTACCAATTTGACCCCCCGACTAAAACAATCCTCACGGCAATTTGTAACCGCACGGCTTACGCACAAGGCAGGCGACGGCGGTCGTCGCGAGTCTACGATTACACGAGTCTCAAGAGGACTCGAGTCTAATAGCGAAATCCGTGCGACGCAGAGCACGAATGGCACCGTGGATTAACAAAACAGAGCCATAAAGGGCACCGTGCAGAGAAAAACCCTTTAATTTTTATTCATACCGGCATTATAATCGATATCTTGTTTTATTTATAGACAAGCTTATTTTATTGTAAGCATCCAAGGTGACCAGGTGCTCCCGCTGCCTATTAGGGAACATTGCGGTTGATGAAGCGCGCCTGATGCTTTGTGACAGAGCGTTCGACCGGAGGACTTAGCAACCAAACATCTCATTGGTTTGCCGCAACGATGGCCTGTACAATGCCCCCACGAGATGCGTGTGTTCATGGGTTTATTATTTGCTTCGGTTGTTTGTTCACCAATTACCGTATATCCCCATACTGGGGGAAATAACTACTGTATTATCGCTTGTGCGCGCGTATAAATCACTGCTCGTAATAAAGCATTTTTTCTTTACAAATACGTCTCTGGGACACGTGTGCGTTGACTCAGAATGCTGGTGTGAATCAATGCATACCGTGGAGAAATTGCATCCAGATAACTCGCTCCTTTACTTTGTAATTTTAAATAATGAAGGGGTGAAGGGGGAAAGGTGCAATGGTCGGTCACTCAGCGCTTGCTCCAGGAGCCATTAGCAGGCGACAGTTCAATAAAACAGAGAGTCAGCGCTTATATTCCTGACCCACTTACAACAATTCTTGCTACCATCAGACACCTGCTCAACTGCCTTTTTCTGAGCACTTGAGTGTGCAATCACCTTGCCACTCAATTAACCACTTCACCCATGGGATTTTTGGGCGAGTATTTTTTGTAATCTACACTGCTAAGTATATCTATGAAATGTATTGCATCATTGGAAAATGTACTGGGAGAGGAATTTTATTAATATCGTGTGGACCACTATTAAGACAGCTTAACAATTGAAACATGTGCATTACTACCCTGTGATATTTTCACATTGTCCCCAGAGTTTGGCACTCTTAAATGAGAGAGTTAACTTGATACAAATGGATATGATCTGTTGGATGGATGAGAACAAGGTTGACCAAAACTGATTGAAACTAATTTTAACGGGCGGTGAGTCACAACCCTGCCGCATGAAATTCACGGGGAAGCTTCACTAAAAAAACATTCATTCTCAAGGTTGAAACTGAGTGGCATAAAAAAAAGCGGTGAAAGGGGGAAGTAAAAAAAAAAATATGTACGCAATAATGACCTGCCAGGGGAATTGTAGGCATCAGACAATTTATTTGTATGGCAGTTCTGAAAAATACCCATGCGATCATTAGCAAACTTTGTGACACGTTGTTTTATTGCATTAACATTGTCGTGCCGTCTATCTGCAGTCCATCTAACGTCTGACAGGTTGCCATCAGTCATCAGCGTGCACACAGTGGCGCTCCAGCTATTTACATTGCAATCATCTATGAGCAAATCCCTGCCCTCTATATTTCTTTTTTTAAGGCAGGTGTCAACACGGGCAGGGGTTTCCATTTCCACCATCATGTGACGATGAAGCCGGAATCTTAAAAAACTTCGGTGAGGTTTGTCCTGTCACATTGCGAGTAAACTTTTCTCTTAAAAAAAATAACACGTGGGCATCTCCCTGCTGGGATTTTCATGTTATTTTCGTGACTGTAAATTTAACTGTGATAAAAAAAGTATTACAAAATTGTTGTGCTTTTCACATTTGAAATGCTGCGAGCGACTTGTGCTATCTCAAGTGTACGTGAGGTTATTATTGGAAAACAAAAAACTTTCAAAAAACATAATCTTTAATTAACTTTAATTATCTTGGAGGGGCACAATCTTGAAGAGGAAGGTAATAAACCCTAATTGGACTGCTGCTTCTCTGAGGCTAACCATCAAGTGTCCTAAAGCCCATCGGCAGGGTTTGATTGGATCAGATTTTCCCAATGGCCAATGCATGTACGCATATATCCTTCCCAAAAACATACACACACTCTACACATGCGCAAAGGATCACACCACGCACGCACGCGCGTACACACACACACACACAATTCAATTATGTGTTAATTATGAACTTATTATGTGTCCTTTTATTATCTGCACTAACATGTTGGCTTTCCTGTCCTTGCACCCTACGGGGACACTTATTAAATCTATCAGCAAGCTTAGTTGCATGAGATCGCCGCTCTTGCGCGTAACGAGAGCGAAGGCGGGTGGCAGGGCACGTGCGTTGGCCGCGAGGCGTTGGCCGTGGCCCCCGTAGCCCACGCCGCCGTGGTTTATGCGAGCCCAGATGCGAAGCGGTCATTCGAGGGCTTGACAGAAGTATTTATTTTTCTTCGCAGATTCACAGGCGGGGGGGGGGGGGGCAGTGCTGAGGAGATTGCGCCGCGGCGGTGGAAGGGGCCGTTCGAGAGCCACCGTTAAGGCGTCAGAAACCGGCACGAATTGTTTCTTATATATTCACAAATTCAAGATGCAGCTCACCAGGATTAAGTATAGCGTCACGGCCGATTGCTCAGCATACAGATTGAGGGAATTGAATGGAATTGGTGGCACTGACAGTTGTGCATTCTCCCCCCCTCAGCAAGCTCTTAGCCGTCATGAACTCCCTCTTGTAAATGTGTCTGCAAATGCAAGCATCAACACGTCTGATGGCTATATTCATGAGCACAGGAGGGTGAGCCTTGCAAGGTCAGTGGGTTCACACACTCAAGAAATGTTCCATCTTCTACAAGAAGTGGAAATCATGAGCACCAAATGAAGCGTACGTACAGAGACCAGGGAAAGCGTCGCAACTACCCAGCCAATACAAACACCGGTTAGTGTACCATGAATCGCCAATACTACCTCACCACATTCAAGCCAGCCTGCATTCATCACTTATACGAAACCATTCCCTTAATTCCACGTGAAGTTTTATGCAAGTTAATAAATAAGTGCATGATGCAAAATGGTGGCATTGGAGGGATTCGCGTGAGTGATGGCCGTCCGTAATATTTCTGCTTCGTAGCTGTTCGCGGTTGTGCTATATAGGCCTCTGATTGATGATGTTTACCGCGCGTTGTTCGGCACGATGCCCGACGCATTGCTGCACGCGCTGGGAGCCCAGTTCCTGAAGAAGCTCCCAGAACGTGGAGGAAAAACGTCGGACAAGCATATCCCTGAACAACAATGGTGCAAACCCGAAAACACAGCGGAGCTCCCTCAGCAGCAAACTGTGAACCCAACGTGGGCTTTAGAGTTCCGCCACCAGAGATCTACCTTCTCCTTTTGTTCGTGAAGCCCTCGAGATGCGTGATTGATGTTGCAGGTGCCCAGGGGTCTTATTTGTATTAGAGGCATTATGGAAGTGGGATTGTAAACCACAGTCGACTGATATTCCACAGGAATAAAATTTTGGCAAATGGGTGACCGCTGCAGTAGCAAATGATGGGCTTCATACAAAAGATACGCTTTGCAATCATTAGTTTGCATATAAGTAACAATTACAAAGTGTGATAACTTTACGACATACATCATTTATAGAGGGGGGGGGGTGTCAATATAGTGTTCACTACTCTGGGGCAGTGTTTGAAATTCCGCATTGCGATGCTGAAGGCAACGTCTTTGTATTTCTTTGGAAAAAAAATACTGTTCACCTACAAAGTGGTATTACCGTTTTCTGCCTTGGAGCCGTGAGAAGCTGAATCAACTCGTGAATGGATTTGAACTTTGAAATATTCTGAGAGTCAGATGCGTGCCCATGCCATAGCACCACTGCCAATATCTACATTTATTTACTCCTAGATTTGAAGCTTTCGTGACTGCTGGGATTCATACTCTTAGGTTTTTTCGGTAAAGTCACGTAGGTAAAAAATAAAATTAAAAGTTAATAAAAGTAATAATGGAACTTTTAAGTTTATTAACTACCTACGTGACTTTACTCATCATTATCATCAGCCATGATCAATTCACCGCTGAATGAAGGCCTCCCCAAGGTGTCACCATTTATTTTGATCCTGCAATGTAATAATCCACCTAGCAGACACAAGCTGATGTATCCCCCCACCATATCTTTGTAAGCAATGTTTAAAAATAAGCACGAAAGGATATTATTTTTCCCAGCTGCTTGAAATGTCACATTAATTTGCTCGAGCAAATTAATTTGCTCAAGCAAATTGTATGCCCATGTTCAAGAAGATATTCTCTTAACTGGCTGGCTTGCTGGCTTGCTGGCTTGCCTTATTTACATCCAATTATAATGATGTTTCGAAAGGATTTTGGGATGCATATCTAAACACGCTATAGCTTCCGCAAATCTTAAGGTCATTTTACATATCTGAGTCTCGCAGCACACAGCTTCACAAAAGGATTCTGCATCCAATATCTGCATCCGAGCAATACATTCTCTACAAACAATGGACCGTCAACCTTTTGCTAAAAGTAATCCAATCCCGTTAATGTCATATCTCGGAGAGAACTATATAATCCCTCTCCACACCGCGCTGTCTCTGAGCTGCCAGATTCACTGCCGCAGCAGTGGCATACATCACAAGTGGGTGGTTTAAAGGATCACTTCACTAAGAAATGGCTCACTTCGCAATTACTGTCATACACCTGTGAACATCAACACAACCTTCAAAGAGTAGCGCATGGGTAGGAGGTATTAACTGTGGTCATCGCTGTGATCTGTACCGCTGCCTTCTTTGCCTGCCATCCCTGTAAACGCAGGTAAATGCGGTGCAGTGTAGCAGTGTTATGAGGAGTTTGTAAACTTCTCATGGGCAAAGAGCAGACAGTTCTGATGTAAACATCTATAGGAATCCACAAGAGTCTTCTGTGCACCTACCTCAGACGGGCGCAATATATTTTCAGTCGGTAATACACAAACATCTTGCATCATTGTGTCACTTCCCTAGATATCGCTACGCACATCAATGCATTGGTGGAGAAAGAACACTGCTCTCCGAATTTGCAGTGTCACGTTATCATTTTATCATACTTTGTCCTTGCGGCTATGTAAAGACAAATGCGACATCGACACAGACAACTTGAACAAAGAAAAGCAATAATGGATCACGGTAAACGGCATGCCTTGATTCAGGCCGATGTGGCAACCTTTGAATCCAAACGCATCGAAGAAACCAAGCAGAAGAGACTGTAGAAAACACCTCTGACCAAAGATGTAATGTGAGTCTCCATGTCAATGTACGTAGCCAACCGTGCTAATCGGAGGTGCAGGGGAAGGAAAAAAACAACCGAATTTACTTAGATAACCACACATGCATGTGAGTCCATGTCTGTCAAGAGTGGAGCAAAAGCTGTGCAGCCTCCATTGGACTCGTCAGTCATATGTGAACCCATCAACTTTCTGGTCTATCGCCTTATAATTATCATCATCGTCCAGCAGTCATCATCGTTTTGATGTGGCAGCCAACCTGTAAACACCGCACCTGGCTTTAAACACTGACGACCAACTGTAGACATATTCCCCGCAATATGAATTCACAGCCGACAATAGCGTTCATTCTGTTATCGGAACAGCGAGCCTCGGTGCGCAGGTACGTGCGCAAACTCACCTGCGTGTGCGTGGGAAGGAGCCCTTTACGTCCATAGAAGCCAAGTGCTGCGTCCAGGTCGATTGAAATGTTAAAGCTGAAGAACTGTGGCTGGGAGACGTGCAGGTGAGACCTCCAGAACTCTCCAGGAGGAACATCCTGGACAACCACCTGCCCCGGGTCCAACCTCCCACTGTCCAGGGAAACCTCCATTGAGGAGCCTCCAGCCTTGCCTATGAAAAAGAAAACATGATATTAATGCATTAGGTAAAAGTACAGCGCTGCAATTGCTTGCTCATGCCGCTGCTATATTAAAAAAGAAAACATGATTTTTTTTTATTTTACCAGGTAAGGCCCGCTGAGCTCTGTATCTCTTTTGTACGGAAGGACCTGCCGATCACAAATTATAGCTCAATTAAGTGACTGATCATGTGGACATTCATAGTAGCCAAATACTCTAAACGCAGGTTTCTAAATGTGGAGGGAAAAATCGGGAGGACCCGGAGAAAAATCCACGTGACCACAGGGAGAACATGTAAACTCAAAATATACAGGCATCATCAGGGTCGGGATGAAACCCACGACCTCCTGTATACCAGGCGAGGTAGTTAACATATCGCTACTGCTGTCGGGAGGGCCTCCACCAGAAAGAGCTCTCAGAAGCGTTTCCCTAGAGGGTGTTGTGGCCTATTCTACCACGCTGGTCAGATGTCCTGGAAGAAGTGGAAGTACCCACACCTTACCCCACCACACGTGGCCTGCCGATAGACTAACTATTGTATACTCATATAAATTGCTGGGTAGACAGAGGCGGGAAGGATTTAGGCAATTTCACCAGTATGATATCACGCACAAAAAATGTTATATTGTAGGTAGTCGGGTCGCCCAGAGATCAGAGTGTTGAATTGGTGCAGCTCAGATCCTGGGTTTGAACATGGGTTTTAGCCACCTGTCATTAAACCAGTTTCGAAAGTGAAAATTGTTGATGGTTTCAGCCTGATCTTCAATGATTGCACAGATAAACCCATGATATAAAATTATATGTTTACACTTAATTTGGCTAAATTACAGCTCTGTTAAATTTTTAATATTGGTTTGTCATATGGCAAACAGTTCAATAGCAGAGTGTATGGAGAAGTGTGGCCCGAACTGTGGAAAAGATACAAAGGCCATGGAGGTCATTTGAAGGTTTTTTTTTCAGAAGTACTGTGGAAATATCTACTGCCATGCTCAGAGGTCCATGGAGCCCACCACTCTGCAAGATTTCTAAATGGATTCTTAATCTCATGACACCATTCTGACAGCACAATTCATTATATATTGGGTGAAACAAGAAACATCAACAAAACATTAAAAGATCAGAATATATGCAAATCACTGTACGTTTATATTCCCATGGGTTGGTTCAGCTCCATCTGAATGGAAATACTTCATCAGTAATATTAAAATAGCATTCATTACAAGTTGCAGGAATATATATATTTACAACATTAATCATTGAAGAAGGCTATCATCACTTGACTTGCACATTTGTAAATGGTGGGAGAGCTTATTTTTGCACATGATTAGGCATTCGTAAAATTTTAGCACGGGACATTCTAGATTGTGTTAAAAACATAATTATGGAATGTACATTTACATTCATTACAAAGGTGTGATTTAAAATATAATAAAAAAAATATTTACAGCCCTTTGCCGAATGAAAGTCTCCATTTGCTGTACATTCACGAGGGTTGTTTGAGCCAACTTCACTATGCTGTACAGTACAGGTTGGTGATGGGGCATTGGGAGGCAGAACTAGTTCAGTTTAACACGTAGGCTTTCACGCTTCAACACACCGGTGGGCTAAAGCAGTGAACTACTTGTCTTTTGTCAACGTGACACTTTTTTGCTGATTGGCCGTGTCGGGTGGTGGAGGGTTACGACACATTTATAAATAACGCGATCTAAACCCAAAAAGTTGATTAGGACTAGTTCAGATGCAACTTGCCACTAATCATTGGCCTTAGTCGGGCATTAAATCCAGGTCGTCGGGTTCGTCATGCAGTGCGCTAACCACCGCACCACCACTTCACACCTTTTCACATATCAACTAAAATGCAAATTAAGTGTCCTCTTCCTGTGATGTTAACACAACGGTAATCTCAGATTGCGGCCGATTTCCAATTAATAATCTGTTATTAATTTTAACCGGCAGAAAGTTTTCTATATTTACACATTTTACTTGAAGGAGCTGAGCAATATAAATTCTGTGAACATTTTCAATTAGCACGTGGGTCTCGTCACTTGACTTCCCTCTCAAACGAACCGCTGATGCGCGTCGCCGAGGGTTATGATGGGAGCTGAATCTCGAGCCGCAGACCATGATCCCATTTGGGAACGTAACCAAATTCACCCTGTGGCAGAGTTCTGGATTAACAAGAGGCCGCAGAACCAGCGTAATCTGCAATCACTCAAAAGATGTCACATTTACCCCCCCTCCTCCCCCATCTAAATGCTGCCTGTGTGCTAATGTGCATCGGCGGTCAAGTAATGCGCACCGATCCATTGCTCTCGTGCATTCACACTCAATACAATTTCAATTCAGTCATCCATAATGGAGGGGGGTTCTCTTGGGTTGAGATCACGTAAAAAATAGACGCGTCGAAGAAAAAAAAAACCGCCACCACCCGACACAGCCAATAGGTAAAGGGTTTGTCACGTAAAACCAAACGTGCCAATTCGTTAAACTGGTTCAGCACACCGGCTGTGTGTTTGAGAGTAAACCCGAAACATTTACAATTCGAGTACGACGTTTCACCGGTAATTGCAGCCAAGCCTCATCAGGAGACAGCTAAAATAGTGCAGATATCCTCCTGTTTTAGTCGTCACTGTGAGCCAATCACGTCAAAGACCAGAGGGGGAGCGGGGGGGGTTAATGTAGTCATATAAATTACAACGCATCTGTATTATTAGTTGGGTTATTTACAGTTAATCAACAACATACATTATGCACGTATATTATTATTTTGAAATGTGCATTACCGATTTGTTTGTGTTATTTTGCAGTTCCAGTTGCCCTCCTGGAACTCTGAAATGAGACGACGCCCTTGGCTTATTCATGTAGGCGGCATGGCTGTCGCTTGCTTGCGACTGGAAACAAGGCTCCCTCTATTTAAAGTTTTCGTGACTGCGGGGATTCATCTTCTTGGTTCTTTCGGTAAAGTCACGTAGAAGGGAAGTAATAAAATAATAAAACGTAATAAAATAATTCTCACGACGTTTCGGCCACAACGCAAGCAGCCGTCCTCAGGTGAAAACCAGGTCTGTCGAGGCGACAGCGTCTGCTGAATGAATATTATTTTATTACTTCCCTTCTACGTGACTTTACCGAAAGAACCAAGAAGAAGGCTTCCCTCTCTCCTCCTGGCACTGCGTTACGGGAACGTTATCAACAGGAGTGCCGTCCACAGAGGGCTGCTTTTTATATCTGCTTTCTTGTCGAGCGATGCTCTTTGCCGCAGCTGGCTGCTGTGCGGAAAATGTACCACAACAATACCCTTGGTGATTTGGGCTTCGACTGAAGAGCACTTGGTCTCAATGGAAGCAAGGCGGGAAACCTTAGAATGCATTGCTGCACTTGAAGACTGTGCTCGCATCTGTACTCATGCCCTGTAGCGCCATGCTTCTTTTGACAGTTCACAAGAAAAACCTGAACAATGGCGGATAATAAGCACATTCTAATTATTTGAAAATATTACTACTACTACGTAATATTAACTTGGCAGGAAGCTTCTTGTGAAAGCAGTTTCAATGATTCCTTGAGAAAACGTCAACCATGCAAGCTTCTGTTTAATTAGATATGATTCAAGGATGACAAAAACGAGAGCAGCTGCACATGTCAAGATGACTGCCGACAGAAAAGAATGCCACTGTGTAATGGGATGCAATTTGAAAAGATTCCACTTGGTATGTTTTGAAATTGGCTTGGATATAAGAGAAACATTGATTTCCCATGTATTAAAAAAAAACACAAAATCCAATTACACAACATACCTGACCTATTCTAGAGAACCCGACATAGGATAAAATATTAAGTTGAATCCATGAAATTCCTTGCCACTCTGGCAGAAGGGCCTCCATTATGTATGTATGTTGAACTTCTTTCACACCGTATGCAGCCAACCGTGCTAATCCACACTCTATCCCACCATACACTAACTGCTGATAAACTAGCTATGGGGTACTCATTTATACTGCTGGGTGGACCGCGGTGGGACCAGTTATTTAGATTATTAGGCTGCTATAAATCTGCATGTGACGATAAGCCACTTTGTCTGGTCAAATAAAAATAAATTTCGATTTTAAGCTTTCGTGACTGCAGGGATTCATCTTCTTGGTTCTTTCGGTAAAGTCACGTAGAATGGAAATAATAAAATAATTAAAATAAAACATAATAAAATAATTCTCACGACGTTTCGGCCACAACGCAAGCAGCCGTCTTCAGGTGTAGAACGGGTCTGTCGAGAAGACAGAGTCATTCAGACTCTGCTTGCGTTGTGGCCGAAACGTCGTGAGAAATATTTTATTATGTTTTATTTTTATTATTTTATTATTTCCATTCTACGTGACTTTACCGAAAGAACCAAGAAGACAAATAAAAATTGTTAATTTTTTTGTGTGATTTGCTTACCTTTCCTATATGTTGTACTCCTATCGTGTTTTTGTATTGTTTGTTGTTCTAACTTTCTGACCCGCCCCTCCTTGACATCTCTGAAAAAGAGCTTTATCACTCATCGGATTCCTGCAGTATAAATAAAGATTCCGATGCTAAGAAAATTGTACCATCAGTTCAGCTGGCATGCCAGGAGCTCAAACCGGCTACTTCTGGATTGCAAGTCCTGTGTGCTAACCATTACAATGTGGCACCAGCCTATGTAGGATGACAAGGCATATTTTTAAAATTAGATATTCTCTTTTACAAAGCATCGATTGCTTTGTCCATGTGAGAGCCACACACATTCTTTATTTAAACGTAGTTATTGTAATTCGTAAAATAATAATGACGCTTTGCACGTAAACATATTGTTAAATATAATGGGGAATTGTTTTGTTATTCTTCAAAGTATTTAAATAGTTTCAATAATCAAGCGCTCTTTTATACTTGGCAGTGATATTTATTAAGTGCAGTGAATCAATGTAAACCACAAATAAATAGCAAAAATGTCTGTTAAATATGAATCTCCTGATAATA